TTGAATATAGAACTGTCTTCACCAACAATCTCTAGAAACAACCAATTTCTGGCCTCAAGAGTCAGTTAGGTAGAGTAATGAATAGAGTACTAGATTTGGTTTCAGGAAGACCTGAGTTTGAATCCTGCCTCAGACAATTACTAGCTGTGTGATCCTGGGTAAGTCTGTGCCTCAGTTTCCTCATGTATAAAATGAGGAGATTGGAGCTGACAGTCTTTAAAGTCCTTTTTAGCTCTCAATATCATGATTTATCTTATGAATCTCATTTAAGGGGTGCCTATTACAAGATGTTAATCCTTGAGTAGGTCTCACTTAACCTTTGAGCCTCATTACCGTCCTCTGTAAAATGGGAATAATTCTTAGACTACATACTTCCCAAGGATTACGGACTTGGGAACATAAAGACCTGAGTTCAAATCACCTCTAACTATTGACTGTGTGACCACTGGCAAGTCACATAACCTTCTTAAATCTATTTTCTCAATAGTAAAATCGGGTTTAATAAATACCTGTAGTGCCTACCTCAGGGGACCAGTGAGACCCAAATGAGAAAAATTATGTATGGCATTTCTGTAACATTTAAAGCATTATATAAATATCAAATATTAAGTTGTAAAACACTCCTCTGGGAAGCTGCAACAGACAAGAATGCATGAATTATGTCCTTGGGGCTTAGGACTGGGGTGAATATCAGGTCCCCAAAGTGATATTTCTCCCAAATTGCTTATTTTAACACAATAATCTGAACCCTGGACTTCTTCACTTTCCTGGAACCTGAGGCATACACATAATGCATTGAGATTGTCACTTAAAATCCCTAGCACTAAATCAAGTATATGATGCAAAATGGAAATTTTTCAAAAGCTTACATCTCCTAAAAATATTTACTTTAAATAAGCGACAAGTACAGTCCATTTTGTTTAAATATCCCAAGACTTTTCCCGTTAGCAGACCATTCAAGTGTATAGAAGATGAAATAAATGGGTGGAATTATTAATGTCTCTTTGTTTTTCACGTGGCCACTTTGTACAAGTCAAAGAAATGTGCCAACAATAGCACAGACGGTGCCAGTCCTGTTGCTAATATGACTGCCAATTAGCTCTGACATGGCAGCTTGGCAGGTTACCTAATACCCTGTATTTTAAAACCTCAGGGGGTTAGAACTTGGACATTTCTATGACATTTTATACTAATCAATCAACTTTTCCTTTTTTATGCAAAAAGGTCCATTTAATAGGAACTGCAGATATACTGTATACACACCATATCTTAATGCCACCCTGATGGTCAGATGTGTCTTGAAACATAATTAAGCTTGGTTTACTGAGAATCGTACTTTCAAAGCAGACTTCAAAATGTTTGTTCTCTACTTTTTTTTCCCTTCCAAAAGGGAAATCTATCTCAAATGTTAAGACAGAACTCAACTCCCCACGACCTTTCTCATAATTATTGTATATTTAAAAATATTACAAGGGGACACTTCTCATGGGATGTGAACTTTAGATCTGCCAAAGCAGTAGACTTGGTCCAAATCTGTTACAAGTGGAACCAGGGCTGATTCAAGTTAGTTCTATTCTGTGTAAAGACACACCAGGGTAGAACAATGGACACTTTTCAAGGCATTTCTAGAACCCCTTGGCAACTGGGAATTCATGTGGAATAAGGAAGAGAAGAACTGGACCAAAAGGGGAAGGGGGAGAGAGAGAACGCATCTTGAAAACTATAAGCATTGACAACATCTCTAAAAATAGGAACAGAAACAAAGTAAAAGGGAAAAACACTTTCCCCTTATTTCTCCCATCCCATTCACTATTTTTTCCTCCTGACTCCTTGAACCATATATCCCTACCTACAGGTCAGCCTTGAAACAAATTTTCAGTTCTCACAAACTGATTAACCAGAAAAATTTTCACCAGCATTTTAAATCGTAAAGAAAAGAAGGGTGTTGTTGCCTGGTCACTAAGTAGGTAACTTTGCATCCAAATTTCCTGGCCCAAGCTCTGGATTATTGAATAAGTTGTATATTGCATTATTCAAAAGTCTAAGGCTTTGCCCTCAGGAAATCCAGTAAATCATAGAGCAGGAGAAGGCCTTAGATCTCATCTAGGCCAATTCACTCATTTTGCAGATGAAGACAATAAAAGCTCCAGAAGTAAAGGGAATTGCCCAAGGTCATACAAGTAGTAAATAGCAGAGCTGGAATTTTAATGCCTGTCCTCCAATTTCAAATTCAGGGAGTTGTTTTCAATTTATATTCCTCTTCTTCCCCACCTTAATGCTAGATCGATAGGTCCTATTTTCCACAGTGAGCAATGATTCTCCTTGCTCCCAGTGTCTTTTACTTTAGGCCAATGCTAATCTGTAAAGATTGAGGATCATTTTCCCCTATCTATTCCTTTTTCCAGCTTTGGTATCATGTTTTCTATTTATCTACTCCAGAGAAATTTGAGGTTTGGTCAAGAATATGATATAGCAGAAAGCTCACTGTGCTAGAATTCTGGGGGCCTGGGTTCAAGTCCCAGCTTGATCACAAAGCTGAGGTCATTTTATGCAAAGCACCTAAACTTTTATACATCATAGCTCCCTCATCAGTAATACAGAAGTGACATTTGCCCCCTATACCTCACAGTATGGCTGCAATGAGCCAATGAAATGTGAAAACATATTTAAAAGAAGAGGGCTATTCAACACACACACACACATAATCTCTCTCTCTTTGTCTCTCTCTCTTTCTGACCTCTGCTCAGAAAATGTAGGAGTCAATTTATCAGCTAATTCACTGGCCCTATAACAGTATTAATTTCATTGAACACAGTAAGGGGAAGGTGCTATCTACCCTGTCCCAGATCTGTAGGACACACACAGTAGCTGTGAGTCTCAAAAAGATAAGGTAGATAGAAGAAACGCTTAATTGGTTCTTGGGAAGCAAAACATTCTGTAAATCCAAGGAATAATTACCACTCAATCTGGTACATCATGGGAGAGGGAGAAGTGGTTTGGAAGGGTTTTTTCTTACTGTCTCCAGCCCTTCACTTCTACTTTCTCTCTCTGCTGAGAAGCTAAATGGCAATCCCCAAGATAAACATCACACTTTAATTGTTACTTTTCTCTCTATTGATGAAGTTGAGTTTTTGTCACTAATACAGGGGAAGGAAAGGCACTGTTTCTTGGGAACAGAATTCATGTGTTTCTTGATGTTGCCAGGGCAACCCAGCAGTGGTAACACAAATTCCTTCTTTGAAAAGAGGGGTATTTATGTGTTGGTGCTGAAATATTGGTTCTCAGTACAGCCAAATCATGCATATCACTGAAGGGTACAAAATGCGGGCTTTGTGAATTTCCTGGCATGGAGCATTTCCATAAGGCAACAAAAAGTAGAATGATAAATCTTAAGGGTAGGCTGATAAGTGACTTGTTTAATGCCTATGGGGGGGGTGAACTCCCCATTTCCCAAGAGTTTTTAGATGTCAAACAGCTCTCAGAGCGCATGTCTTCTCTTCAACAAAGGATTTAACAATTTAGTTATGATGTTCAAGAAATATGAACAATGTCACATATTTAGGGGTGAAAAATAATTGTACTGATCACCTAGATTAATCACCTCATTTTACATATAAGGTCACGAAGAGACAAAGTAATTCCACCAAGGCCACAGAGATAGTAAGTAGCAGAAGCAAGACTGGAACCTGGATCCTTTGATTCTATATCCAGAGTTCTTTTCCATTATGAATAAATGCATGAATGAAGCATTTATTAAAAACTACATGCAAAATGCTATAATAAAGTACCAAATCCATGACATAATACCACATATATGGCATATTTTGCAATGGTCAGCACACTAACCAAAACAAACAAACAAACAAACAAACAAACAAACCTGGCTTCTCTTTGCCCAGAGCATTCATTTAAGCTTAATGGATAAGACACTAGACTTGGAGGTGAGAAGACTCAGGTTCAAATCCTGTCTCAGACACATACTACTTGTATGACCTTAGGTAAGACATCTAAACTCTCTGTGACTCATTTCATCTATAAAATGAAGGGGCTGGCCCTGATGACCTTGAAGGTCTCCTCCAGTTCTAAATCTATGATCCTATGAACCTTCAGGAACACCATATTGTTGCTGGTGTTGCTGAGTCACTGGGGTTTTCTTGGAAAAGACACTGGAGGGATTTGCCATTTCTTTCTTCAGTTCATTTTGCAGATGAGGAAACCAAGGTAAACAGAATTAAGTGACTTGCCCAAGGTCACACAGCTAGTGTCTGAGGCTGGATTTGAACTCAGGTCTTCCTGACTCTAGGTCCAACACTGTCCACTGCCCTAGTTGCCCTAGGAACACTGTATGCTCAATCCCTTTATGATGATAGGTTATATAATTTTCTGGACACTTGTGATTTATGTGCCATTAATAGGGATATCACAATGACATTTTTAAAAATACTGAATTAAATGACAAAAAGCAGAAAAGTAGATAAGGAGGAGACAGGAAGTCAAGTGTGAACCAAAGAGAAAGAGCTATATTACACTAGATTTGGAATTGGGTGGAATGAGCTCTAATCCCAGCTTCATCGCTTGCTAGTCATGTGGTCAAATAACCGACCCTTCTCGACAACGCTTTCAGGTTGGCAAGGCCCTCAACACTTTATATTCATTATCTCGTTTGACCCTTAAAACAACCCCATGAGGTAAGTACTAAAGTTATCACCAAATGGAGCTTCAAAAAGTCCCATCTTCCTCACAATCCCACCACTGAGAAGTGTCTAAGGCTAAGCCAAAATATCAACTCAGGTATCTCCCGACACCACCTCCTTCCTGTTATACGTCACTGCCCCAGAGACAACACTGTCGGCCCTACAACTTAAAACAAATGCAACTATGCACATATTGTGGACGTGTAGCACGACCTTGCAGGATATTCTCCATTGCCCAGTCTATCTCTTCTACCCTCTCCTCTCCCAGCCCACTTCTGCAATTATGGGCTTATCATATCTTTTTACCTGTAGGTTTGCACAAGGTGGCAAAACATGGGATGAGATTTCATTCTCTGACCCTGAGCCCAGAGACTTGTTGCTCCTGACTCTGAAGGCTGTTGTGGTCGTGGCTGTGGTGGTCTGTCCGGGGAGGACAGGCTGCCACACATTCACATCGGAGCCATTGCCAAAGGCTTGGATTGCATTTTCTGTAGGGAAATAGAGAGAACCCAGTTTCAAAGTCAAGGTCAAATAGTAAATATTACCAGTAGCACAAGTGGCCCGAACAAAGAAAGTGTTCTCGGTTCACCAACTGACTTCTTTCGATGAAATTATTCTTTGTGAAATATGTATCTGTCAAGTACTTTGGAAATATGGTCATAGAAGCATGAACTCTGCTATAGCTTATGACCTTTCATGTCTTCCATGCATAACCTTGAGAGAAAGTCAAACCTTTAAGGTAAAAGCAAATTAGTATTTTCAAGTCCCAAATGGCCTTAACTGAAAGATTCAGATGCTTCAATGACACGAAGGCACCAATTTGGACAAGAACATATCTCTAATGCTGGAAGGCTATGTACTTCAAACCCTTCATTTCACAGATGAAGAAACTGAGCTCATTTTATAGATAAAGAAAACTGAGACCCAGGGAAATGCAGTGTCTGGCCCAAAGACAAAAAGATAGCAAACATCCAACCTTGGTAAGATTAGAACTCAAGTGATCTAGTAATAACACCAAGGTTCTTTCCACTGCATGACAAGTTTAAAGCAAAAAGTGGGCCATTTATTTATTCACTTAAAGCTACTCATTTTATTAAAACAACAACCAACTCAAACTTCATAAATATGTGATGGTTTAAGGACGATGATCTTTTATTCTTTTTTTTTTCTCCTAGTCTTCCAAACAAAATCTGCATAATTAGGTAAGAGCAGAGCTGCTTAAGCCAAAAGTTTACAATGTAAAATTTTAAAAGCTTATCATAATTTTCCTGGGATTAAATTGTGTTTTTCTTTTTTTAATGGCAAAGAGGCAATTGGTTGTGTGTTGTTCCCCTCAGTCCCCAGCCCCTAAATGAATAGAAAAACAGTTTTTAATCATGTCTTCAGGGAATCGGCATGGATTTAGGAATTTCTTATTCCATATTCATTGTATACGAAATCAAACATTTTCATTTGGGACCTGAATGCACAAACTGTTAATATAGCATTCTTAGCTGGCATTTTTCTATATACAAGATGGAATAATTTAAGTCTAATCTTCCTCTTAGAGTGACATTTTGCTCTAAAGTTGTTATCCTTTAAGTTCCACTAAATTGGGACCTTGTTTTTAAAATTTTTATGTTTCTCATGTTGGAAGACACTGCTGCAAATCATTATAAATGTTTTTATGCCATTGCAATCTCTACACAGCTGAACAGGTGAAAAATGGGGCCAGGGACAGCAGGACAAAGGCAAGCAATTATCCTAACTAAATCCAAAAACAAGGGTTCTTCCCTTTACTCTTTTAGGCAGGTGGTCAGCAAGACAGCCATTTTCAGTTATTAACAACAAATAATAATAACAGCAATAGCATCAGCAACAGTATTTAATATAGTTTGCAAGGCTCTATGCAAATATTCCCTTATTGTATCTTTACAACAGCAGCTAGGTGGCACCAGGTCAGGAATCAGGAAGACCTGAAGTCAAAGCTAACCTTAGACACTAGCTATGTTACCCTGGGCAAGTCACTTAACCTTGTTTGCCTCAGTTTCATCATCTGTAAAATGAGCTGAAGAAGAAAATGGCAAACCACTCCAGTTTCTGTGCCAAAACCCAAAAAGGAGTTATGAAGGGTTGCACATGACTGAAAACAACTAAATAACAACGACATCTTCACAACAACTCTGGCAGGTAGATACTATTATTATTTCCATTTAGTAAATGAGGAAACTGAGGTTAAGTAGACAGAGGTTAAGTAACTTGTTTGGAGTGTTGCTCATTATATAGAAAAGCACCAACTTGCATATCAATCCTGAAATTAGAATCTTAAACTCATCTTCAAATGAGATTATGATATTATCTTAATTAAAGATAATTAAATTAAATTAAAATTCAAGAGCATTCTTAAACTCTGCACTACCAAAGCTACATTTCCTGTAATACCTTCTTTTTCTCATATTTAATGTGAATTAGACTTGTGAATGACCTCTTCCTTCTTTCCTAATAACCAAAATTTTAATTAAGAATTGTTCCTAAACCTTTATAAGCCTCGGTATTTTCATCTGTATTAAAAAAAAAAAAAGTTGACCTAAATGACATCTAAATTCCTTTCAGGCTCTACCACTATGACCCTACCAATAGGCTGAATTCCTGGTGGTGTTGTAATGATATCCAAGGCACTCTAGTAAGAGCCACACCTTAACAAAAATTTCAGAGTACTGAGCTGACCCCTCATTTTATTATTATTACTACTTAATTTTTTTTTTAGATGCAATCGGGGTTAAGTATCTTGTCCAGCGTCGCACAGCTAGTAACTGTCTAAGGCTGGATTTGAACTTAGGTCCTCCTGACTCAAGAGCCGGTGCTCTACCCAATGTGCCACCTAGCTGCCCTGCTGACCCCTTGTCTTAAAGATTTTGGTTTTAAAAGGATATCCATCAATCTTGAACTAGAGGGAATCTTGGAGATGATAGAATCCAACCTCCTCATTTTAGAAATGAAGAAACTGAGGCCCAGAAAGAGGTTAAGAGAATTACTTAAGTCACAAACGTAGTAAACACAAGATCTTAGATTGGAGTTCAGGATCTTCTTAACCACCACAATGATCCCTATTAATCACATCCCAAGTCCATTTTAGTTTTCTGGGATGGTACTTCCCTAAGTGCCAACATCTCTTTGAGCTATAAAGACCTTTTTTGTACTAACTAGATTTAACAGCCAGACTCTCAGGCCTTTTTACTGTCACTTCTGAAGGAGGTATAAATGAACTATTGCGAATAATTTTAACAAGTTCTTGGCCTCTGCAGCAGACCCAGCTTTTACTGGTACTGAAAAGTCATTAGAAACAATGACCCTAACTTTCCGCATTCCCACTCTCCCAGAGGCTACAATACTATTCACCAGAACCAACTTTTATGTATTTGTAAAGGAGAAGTTCCCCAGCCAGGATGAATATGATTTTTTTTTCTCACACTGACCTTTACTGTCATTGTTTTATTTCTATTAAAAGTGGCGTTCTGCCAGAAGTGAGCACAGGACAGAAAAGAAGCAGGGACTATTATGCTTTGAAAAATCAAAACAACGCAAAAATCCCACTTTCCTTGCTATAGATTTACATGAAGAATCCAGGAAGGGGTGGAGATGGCTCAATGACTTCTGAAATGCCTCTGCATCTCAGACCTTAGGGCTTACTGGCCCTCCACTCAGGCCTCCAAAATGTAACATTAAATGAGTGGGTATAGTGCCTAGCACATTAGAGAGAACAATGTAGACATCTGGTTGAATGAATAAAATATCTAAGGTATAAGGTGATAAATTACTTGGATTAAGAGTTTTAGGAGTAAAGGCTGGTTTCTACTTAATAACAGCACAAATTAAACAGTCTTGCACAATTTGCAAATAATTTTCTTCACAATTTTATATTGTGTAACAGTTTAATAGTGAAAAAGGATTTTGAGTCAAGAGATCTGGATTCAAATCCTAATTGTTACCAGTTCTATGAATTTAAGCATGGTAGTTGGCCTTTATGGGCCTCACTTTCCTGGGTGCTGGATTAGTTGAGCTCTAATTCTTTGACATTAATCCCCATTTTACACATTAGGAAATTAAGAGTCAGATTTTCCTTACAGCTAACTAAGGAAATGCAACAGTGGGGCTTGAACCTAGGTCTTCTTAGCCTAGTGATCTTTCCACAGGAAATACTTGTATGCCCACTGTACAAAGAGGAATGAGGCTAGCATTTAAGGAATCTTACATAAGAGGAAGGATTCCATCTTGATTCCTAGCATCTAATCACATCTTATTTTCTCCAGAATTCCTACAGACACAGAGGGCAGCTTTAAAGACAAATACTTAGATCCAGCTCTTTAGACCCAAGGGATGAAGAGAAAACTATCCTTACTATCATTTATGTTATTTGGAATGTATATTGATACTAAAGTAGCTTCAATCTTTTCTAACACACAACTGGGAATGACAGTAAATCTTATGTGATGAAAGATAGGTAACTTGGTACTCAGTCTGGGTTTTACTAGTTTCTGCAACTTAATAGCTGAGAACTGTTTACCTACCCAAATTAGAAAGAGGAAATGTGTACTATGTGAATACAGCTGAAGTAATACAAGGCATCTGCACAGTGACGTTGCTCACTGCATTACTGTAAGCTCATTCTGGTAAAAAAATATTGATGACCCATCTCTGTAGTCAAAACCTGACCATCTGAAAAAGTTTTGTTGTTAACATTTTTTTCTTCTTCCATCAAAATCCTTTGTGATTTATCCCCCATTTAATCTACCTGAGTTTCTCATACTGTAAATTCTACTCAAGTTCTAAGGTCTCTTGTGTATCAATTCTCCTCTTTTCCTTCCTCTGCCCCCAACCCAAGACACACATTAAGGGCTTCAGATATCTGGAGCTGTCTGCCTTAGACTCTTAGATTCAACGACTCAGCAACATGCAATTCCTTGGGTCGAGGTTCTAAAGCTCAAATGTGGCCAAATATATAAATGAGATTGTTACCACACCAATGTTAAAGGAGGGAGAAACAGAGAAAGTCACCAGGAATAACCCAACTTCTTAGATGAACCATGAATTACTCACTGAGACACATGTTGTCCTTGAAGAAATTCAAAAATTTCAGGCATTCTTCTAAGTCATTACCACTGTTGTTACAGTCACACCACGGAGCCACACTGAGGCTGTTAGAATCTATATAGTTAGGTGTCATCACTGTGCCTGAAGGAGAGACCAGAACATGTACAATGCTCAGTCACATTCAATAACAACACGGACCTTTGGATCACATCAAAAGAAATATGTTGTTCATGGTGGTCAGTGGCTGGCGGGCTGGTAGGTATTTAGAATTATGGTAGTTGAATACGAAATTATAGTAAGCAGTGCATTTTTTATAAAAACTTGTTTCAGAATAAAGTAACTTATCCATTTGCCTTAAAAATTTAATCTGAATTCCATGAGCAGCTTGTTTCTCTTCACAAATAATATGGATGATTTGGAGCATAGTAGAACTGGTTGAGAATGCATGAGCTGAGAAGTAACTCCTTAGCTTTCTTAAAAAACAAAAGCAAAAAAACATCAACCTGCCCAAATAGGTGGTAGAAATTTTCTATATCTGGTATTTCTGAGAACTTTGATTTTGTTCCCTCAAAAGTACATGGAGATTATTAAATGACGTTAGCAAATTTAGAAGGCAATCAGTGTCACATCACATACACATGACCTACATTTTTGTCTTTAAGATCCAAGCTCATGAGACATTCAAGTGTATGGATACTTTCTATTATAAAGTAGATGAAAGTAATTCTCTAAAACAGTGGCTCTGAGGCCTTGTTGACCCTAGAAGATCTTCCACATGGTCCTCTTAGCAGTCTTATCTCTGACAACATCTAAATGGGCATAAATTAATAATTTATTTCTCTTATTTTTAAGATAGATTTTATTGACATCTTTTGTTTATATTATTCAAAATTTCCCCTGTACTCTCCCCTACCAGAGAGCCACCTCTTATAATAAAGAATTAAAAAAAAAACAGGAAAAGAAAAAAAAATCAGCAAAAATTAGTCAATACATTTGAAAAAAAACCTGACATTATTTGGAATGTTACACACCTGTGAAGTCCTCACCCCTGCAAAAGAATAAGGGGAGGGGGATATTTTGTCATATCTCTTCTTTGAAGCCAAGCTTGTTTTCTATTAATTATTTATTTTCATAAAAACTAGTTGTTCTCTCATAAGTGACTCATCTCAGACACTACCATTTTCTCAAATGATCTTGTTGAAGTTTTCTTTCTTTTCTTTTCCTTATTTCCTTCTTTCCTTCCCTCCTTCCTTCCTTCCTTCCTCCCTCAATCTCTGTCTCTCTCTGAGCCAAAGAGGAATGAGGAAAGTACTAACAGCCTGGTGTGGTTATTCTGTTCCACCAAAGTGATCCACGCACATAAAAACTTTGAGAATCATTGCTACAAGAAGTATTTCTAAATACGGCTTTCCATTCCATGCCAGGGAATATGGGCTTCAATGAGAGTTGTGGCCTCTAGCATGCCTATACCAAGCTTCCCACTCCTGTTTGCAGATGTTCTCTATGGGTTTTAAAGGACTATGTACTCCAAACACACAATGGGAAAATCAGTGAGTGAGGCAAGGAGTTACTTATTAGGCATCCAGGGGTGCATGACTTTATGCCAACTACTTCATATACATATAAAAAGGCCATGGCCCCTGCTCTGAAGGAGTTTATAATTAAACAACCTAAGAAATCAGTACTGAAGGAGAGGTACAAAGCATGCTGAGTTTCACACTGCTAGTTGTTGTCATACACTCACTGTTACCTTGATTTTCAAGTGTTTAAGAATTAAAGAGATGCCAAGTCCCCAAGTCAGGGAATGGTCTCACAGAACTTATGACTCCATCGCCATCATACAGTACAATACTTTGACAATACCACAGTGCTCATGAGGTACCCAGTTCAAAGTGCTGTGAGGAGATTATGGCAAAAATTCTGAAAGGCGGGGGGGAGTGGTCCTACTTTTCCAATTTATGGAGGTTCTCACTAGCTACAGCAGCTACTTTTGATTTTCAACAGCCTCCTGAATGCTAATTAGAATACAAATCTGAGTTTCTATCATTTAAAAATGCTGACATGTAAACAAGACTAATAATTACAATCACAGAATTTCAGAGTTTGAAAGGACCACTGTCCCAACTCCTCCAGGTCATCAAGCCCAGTCTAATGAACAAGAATGCCTTCCATAGTATTTCTGACAACACCATTCAGTATCCACTTGAAGACCTCTAGTATGGGGAAGCTACTGACTCTGGAGGTAGCACATTCCATATTCAGACCATTCCAATTGTTGGGAATTTTGTCATTGTACATAGCAGAAATCTGTCTCTTGATATCTTTTATCCACTGTTCTAGTTGCAACCCCTGGGGCTAAGCAGAACACTACCAATCCTTCTTCCACAGGATGGCCCTTCAAATTCTGGAGTACAGCTATCATGTCCCCCTGCCTTGGGTCTTCTGGCTTCCAGGTGAAACATCTCCAAGATCCTTAAATGGATTTGGTCTGACAAGATCTCTGTTCTTAGGATCTTTGATGTCTTCTTTCCTTCCTTCCTTTGATATTCAAGCTTGCCAATTCTTAAAATGTAACACCCAATTCGGGGGTACAAGAAGCAAAGAAAGCTATTGCTAAAAACAAGATTAAAACTTAATATAGAAATAATCACTGGTATAAATGATTATTAATTCATTTGTTATGGAGAAGAAGAGAATGCAAATACAGAACATCTCCTAAGAAGAATGTGCTAACTGGAAATGTCACTGCAAATGAAAATGCTCACGTAAGATTTGCCCGACAAAACATTCTGTATATCTTTTTAAGAAAAGTGATTGTAGAGTTGTAGTAATGAGTGTACCTAAACACTGGGAATATTTCTGAGTTAGTTTCAATACTTTTTGGATCTCCTCAATGGCTTTTAGTGAGGATCTCCCTTCTGGTTACAGTACTGCCTGTACCTTTGCTCTTGGTGGGGCATTTACCTGTTTAGAGACTTGTTCAGCCTCCACGTTGACACCTGTTAGAAACATACGTGGTGACAGAGCTATTATACTTCTGACAGCTGTGATTTCCCTGATCTCTGGATCCCTTTCACTACGCTTTAGAATATGCCATTCACAATAGAACAGAAACCCACACAGCCTCCTGCCATATATTACACCTGTTTCTGCTGCACGCGGCTCCCTTCCCTTCTGCCTGCCTGCCTACATTTTACATCCAGGATTTCTACCCTCCTGGTTTCTTCCCAAACAGTTAGAGACATTTTTAATCTCACCTTCCACTAGATATTTATAAGAATGCTTGGGTTTGGAAGGAAAGGAGACAATTTTCCAGGATGCTTACATCCACCATGATAAGCATGAACACTGAGGGTTGAGTTAGCCGGATAAACTTATTGACTGATAACAACATTAAGGATTATTCTTTCCAAAGAGTGATTTGTGGGGAAGTAACATTTTCCAGGATCAAATGATATCCAAGTTTGCCATTCTAGCAAGACTCTCAATTAACTTTGTTTGACTTGCTTCTCCTTCCAAAACCTCGATTCTCTCTCTTCTGTTGTTCTACCCTGTCAATTTTCCAACAACTCAGCTTTCTCAATAGCATGCTCCTTCTCAGGTCCTCCCTTATCCTTTTCCTTCCCTTACTGATCCTCACTTCCAGTCTTTGTCCCTTTCCATCTATTATCTTTTTCTTTACAGAGTATTCCTAAAGGGCTGATAAGTCAAAACATAGCACAGAATGTTGAAGAATTTTACAGATAGTCAGGTAGTTAGAGTTTGTGGGCATTTGTAAACCAGACAGCATTTCTTTCTCCCTGCCTCCCCCAATCCCCTTCAGATCTTACCAATAAGCCCAGAGTAGGCAAGAAGGCAGTCAGCATAGTTTTCCTTTAGACAGCTGCTAACAGACCGTGATTCAGGCTGGCAGTTTGTGAAAAAATCCGCAAGGCGAGATCTGCAATGTGGCAAAAGGGGTGGGGTTGGGGGGAAAAATGTGTTTAAAAAAAAATCCTAAGCTTCTAGGCAGATAACTTTAGCATCATTTTCTTTGTCAATATCCTTTTTATATAAACATATAACATGTGAAACATTAAACCATTAACACCCTCCAAACAACAACCAACAACCACAAAAAGCCTTCCCTCTGTCTCTATCTCTGCTTGCTTACAGTGGTGCCCCTAAGGCCTATAACAAGAGAAATCTTGGTGTTTTGAAGTTTCTGTTCAATATTTATTTCCTGACATTGCTTATGTACATCTTTCAAGAAATATGCTCTCTTCACACACTTAAGGCAAACACTGGAAAAATATTTACTTAACACAGAAACATGTCTCCCTGGCATCTTAGAGATGATCTTACAGCCCACAGCCCATCTGCTTCTGTAATTCCTACCAGTTACAAAAGGACCTGAATCTGCCTTGCAAATAGCCCCTCGCCCACTAGCCTAAGAGAATGGCGATTTATTTCAAACCAGTGACACAAAATGCTGTTGCATCTTAGGAGCTAAGGAGAAGCCATGATTAGAGGAAAAAGCTGCAACCTACAGTCAATAATAGCTAACATTTATATAGCACTTACTATATGCCAGGCACTGCTAAGCCCTTTAACAATTATTATCTTATCTGATTCTTACAATAAATGGGTGGATTAGGAAGGTTAGGAACATCTATCACTGTGGGGCCAGTTTTAAAGAGTCTGCCAAACTCTGAAGAGAAGCATCTTGCATTTAGACACAACTGGCCAAGCAGCCTTATTTAAACACTTGTGCCCAAGTGCCTTGCAGCTTACCAGTGAGTGCCCTGTAGAATACTCCTAATAAATTTCATTTAGTGGTGCTAACTTTGCATATGAAATGAGACAATAAAACCTGTAATATGGACAAGTTATAGGAGATGGTATGGTTGTGTACCTTTCTTAAGAGTGAACAGCATATGGATGTGTATTTCAAGCATGAATGCAAGAGTACAAATGAGATACAATAATGATGACCAACATTTATAAAGCACCTCGAGGGTTTGCAAAACACCTGTACACACAGAGGCTCATCTGAACCTCACAACCACCTTGTGAGACCATACTGGATTTTAAGAGAATCTGAACCACTTACAAGACACCACTGAATGTTTTCCGGGCAACTGATACCTTTGGATCACCATTTGTTAGGCAACTCTCAATGTTGCTTTCCCTTTCTTCCACAGTAGTCTAAGGGAATGTTTTTTTTTTTTCTTTTCTCCACTAAAAAGGTCAGGAATAGACAGAAGGGCCCCCACAGGAGCTCTGGTAGGAGTAAGACAGTCTTCTGGGGCCCTAAAGGAAAGAAATACCAGCAGCATACAGCACAGGGGCTGCCCAAGCTCTGAGCTAGAAGTCTCAGTCCCTTTTTAGCTTGGTTTTTTAAAGAGCCCAACCAAGCCCAGAAAAGAAAACATTATGGCCACTTTCACAGAGAAGAAAATTTGTAATTATGTAAATTGAAATTCACAGCCCATTAGAGTGCCACATGGTACTTGTGCAGTAGGTTATTTCCTTGAGCAAATGACTAAAAACTATGTGATTCCCTTCTATTCTTGCTATTTGCATTTATCCTTTGTTTTTGCACTATTTATATACACCCTATTTGTCAGTATTTTCTCTTTAGACTCTAACATTCCTTTCCACCTCCGACCCAGATAAACCCTGTATTTGTTTAATTCTCTTCGTACAGCACTGAACATAGTGGGACATTTGAGATGTACTTAATAATGCTTTCTGATAATGGCAGTGCTAGGAAGCTAAACGGCTTTGCAAAATTCCTGAACAGCAGCCATCCAAGTCAGTAACATCCAGATGAGGTTTAGCCCATGTGCATTTTGAGCTCCCTGAAAGCCTCCGCTTTCTTGATGTGTCTGTCCTTCCTTCCTTCTTTTTTCTCCTTTCTTCTTTTACTTCTCAGGGGTGGAGTTCCACTGTAATTGAACACTCTAGAGGACATAAAACTTAGCCACTTAATGTACAGCCTGTTTAAAGGATTTATTTTTCATGGGAAATCCCTAAAGAAGGTTCACGCTTACTCAACTGGTTCCAATCGTATCCAGCTTGGTTTTTGTGTTAATTTCGGGAGAATTTCTGTGGTCATGAAAGTTAATGATCTGGTTGTATTGTGCATCTAACTTTGCAGAGGCCAAATATAGTTCAAGCAGCTAGGGTTCAAGTTGCATTGTACAACCCAGCCCCCAAGTAACTTTCCTGCCCCTCCATCTCCAATCTCCCTTCCTTACCTCTAGAGACATAAAGGTCACTCTCTGTTTCCATGCTAGCTTGGTTTCGCCTACTCTCTTGAGCAGACTATTAAACTGCACCAAATGGGGATAGAGATTACTGTCCTTCAGCATCTGAACTAATGCCACTAGGCCCATTTTGCTTAACAACTTCAGGATTGACTCCCAATTGGTCTCTGGAATGAAAGGCTAATTGAGTCAGAGTCCGTGACAGCAATATAACTCCTCTCATTTGGGAGATGAAACTGAATATTCTGTTCAGAGCACAACTCGGGAGACCCTGCTCTCAATAAAGAAAATGAAGTAATGGCCCAAGAATGGTCGAAAGGACCATAAGCACATTGCCAACATTTGGGAAAATCTTTTCAGATACTACTGATAACTCAAGGCGTTGATGAAACAGGGCTTCATGTTGTTAGAGTACTCTCATGCCTACCATCTTTCTTATTCCGTGAGATAGGCTCACCATTTAAAGGGACAAGGGAAAGTCTGAATGGTACACTCCAAAGAAATCATCACTGCTGTTTATAATGACCATCAAATGGGCAACGGAGAGATTCAGGAGCTCCTGAGAGGGCAGTTAAGGCCACTGGGGCGAGACTCTCCTGATAATGCCCTTTACCTTTGAGTTGAGTAGAATAGAGAAAATATTAGCTCAGACTGGTGAAAGGAATGCAGAGGGAAAAAAAACAAATAAGCAAACAAAAATCACAACTCTCTATGTATCCTGTCCTGCTTTCCCGTTTTCTTTTGTGACTAAAGGGATATTCTTTATACCTTCAGAATGCCCTAAAGCAACTCGTTACTTTTACTGTCCACATAAGAGGCACCTCCTCTATCAACACTTTACACTTTGCATATTTCTATTTGTATTATATATACCTATATATTAATGTGTTTGTATATATACATGCACATATATTTATATTAAAGTGAATATGCATATATTATAAACATGCATGAATATATGATGAACACATGCATGGATACACACTAAATTCTTATAAGGTTGTGACTTCATATTTCTATTTGTATTATATATACCTATATATTAATGTGTTTATATATATACATGCACAGATATTTATGTTAAAGTGAATATGTGTGTATTATAAACACACATGAATATATGATGAACACACATGCATGGATACACACTAAATTCTTATAAGGTTGTGACTTCACATTTCTATTTGTATTATATATATGCATATATGGGTATGTTTGCATATATACATAAATTAGAGTATATATATGAGAATAAACATGTATTTGTATATAAGCACACTAATTTCTTATAAAAGTAATGACTTCATATTATTTCTTTTTTTATGTTCCCTAGTAACTAAAATAAAACAATGTACAGAGAAGGCATCTGATGAGTGTTTGATGAATGAATGAATGTGCAGAATTCTCTACTCCTGGCATATTCCCTCAATGTAAAGTAACTTAGCTTACCCTATCCCCTACTTTTTTAAGCATGCTCCTATTCTCTTCTTCAGCAACAGCTATAATACACTAAGCTGTGAGAATCTACTCAAAGTTTTAAAAACTGAATTTCAGTACAATAGAAACAGAACTATATTTGTAATCAGGAGACCAAGTTCAAATCTTGACTCAATCATTTATTGCTGGTGGTATGACTTTGGGCAATTATTTAATCTGAGTGCCTCAGTTTCTTTGTCTGCTATTTCTAGACAGTAACATATTTATTTTAATAAGATTTTCCCAAGAAGTGATTTGTAAGATGCCATCCAGGCCTAAATGTATGATCCTGTGAGTAAAACTCTGTGTGTGTGTGTGTGTGTGTGTGTGTGTGTGTGTGTGTGTGTGTGAGAGAGAGAGAGAGAGAGAGAGAGAGAGAGAGAGAGAGAGAGAGAGAGAGAGAGGTGTGGCATCACGATGAACCCTGAAGTGATGAATTTGATTTTTTTTCTCTGTGAAATTGGAAAGGAAATGAATAAGCACTAACACTGACATCTCCATTCCTGAAAGAAACTACTCCCACTCTTACCAAGAAGAAAAACACCAAGCAAATCCTACATTAGCCTGGGAAAATATGCTAAGGGAGGAAAAAAGTGGCTTCTCAGGAAAATCTTATTAAAATAAATATGTTGCTATCTGGAAATAGAAAAATGATTTTATTGACAAATTCTAGGAAAGTCTTCTCAAACAGCAGATGGTCTTTTGACAGTGGCGGGGGGGGGAATCATTTTCCCACATATTCTGTAACAGTGTTATGAAAATAATGAATGACTTAAACAGGTAAAAAGACACCAGCTATTCCCAGCTTAGCTCATCCTAGATTATGATAATCCTTCAAATGTTTATCCAGGACAAATCACAGCTTGGAAACAAGCTTTACAGTTTAAGGAGGGGAGCCCTACAATAGGAGACAGGAGATCTTGTTTCAAATCCAGGCCCTGAAACAAACAAGTATTCCTGGGTAAATCATTTAATGCTTAAATTTACCATCCTGCCAAAAAAATTAAAAAGAGAGATAGTATATAGGATATACTTGAGTCCCTTGGGGGAAAGAAACACACGTGTATACATATATACATACATGCGCATGCATATATACATGTATGTGTATATATGTGGATGTATGCATGTGTGTGCATGTATATATACATATATGCTATATGTGTGTGTATATGTGTGTGTGTGTGTGTGTGTGTATATATATATATATATA